TACCCTGCGCACGAAAATTTAAATCAGAAACCTAAACCAAATCCTAATCCCTAAACCCCCTTAAACCCTAAACCCCCCCTAAACCCCCTAAACCGTAGACCCCCAACCCCTAAATCGCCAAAACCCCTAAACTGAAACCCCTGAACCCCAAACCCAAAACCCCAAAACAACAAAACCCCAAACCCACAAACCCCTAAACCCTAAGCCCTAAACCCTGAACCCTAAACTGTAAAACCCTAAACCCCAAACTCCCCAACCCCTAACCCCTAAGCCCAAGCCCTGAACCCTAAACCCCCAAACCCCGAAACCCCCAAACCCCTACACCCCTAAACCCTAAACCCCGAAACCCCAAACCAAGCCCGTAACCCCCTTACACCCCCTAAACCCCTAAACGCTAAACCCCAAACCCCTGAATCGCCAGAACCCTAAACTCTAAAACCCCAAACCCCCAAACCCCTAAACCCTCAGCCTTAAACCCTAAGCCCTAAACCCTGAACCCTAAACCCTAAACCCCCAACCCCCAAACCCCTAAACCCTAAACCCTAAACCCTAAACACTAAACCCTAAACCCTAAACCCTAAACCCTGAACCCCTAAACCCTAAACCTCGAAGCTGCTACCTGGGGGAGTGGATCCTCCCGCCAAGTTGCGTCAGCGTGCCCGTGACCAGAACTACGAAGCCGAAGGCCTGCGACAGTCGTGGGTTTGAGGGGTGTAGGGTTCGAGGGGTTTAGGGTTTAGGGTTTAGGGTTTAGGGTTTAGGGTTTAGGGTTTAGGGTTTAGGGTTTAGGGTTTAGGGTTTAGGGTTTCTGAGGCCCTAAAAACCTGGCGACTCCATCGATGGCGGTCTTCATGCGGTGGAGAAGTTTTGGGGGTAGCCCTAAACCCTAAACCCTAAACCCTAAGTTTGGGGGGGGGGTTCTGGCACAAGTCAGCGTCATGGACTCTGGCTCATCGTTTAGGGCTCGGTGTTGGGGGCTTGGGGTTTGGAGTTGAGGGTTTTGGGGTTTAGGGTTTGGGGTTTGGGGTTTAGGGTTTAGGGTTGAGGGTTGAGGGTTGAGGGTTGAGGGTTGAGGGTTTAGGGTTTAGGGTTGAGGGTTGCGGGTTGAGGGTTGAGGGTTTGGGGTTTAGGGTTTAGGGTTTAGGGTTTAGGGTTTAGGGTTTAGGGTTTAGGGTTTAGGGTTTAGGGGGGTTTAGGGTTTAGGGGTTTAGGGCTCTCTCTTCTGCTCAGGCCAAGTACAACTGCAACCTGTCCCCAAGCGAGCGGAAACTTCAGACTAGTGAGCACCCACGTGGAGACCCAGGTTAGGGTCTAGGGTTTAGGGTTTAGGGTTTAGGGTTTAGGGTTTAGGGTTTAGGGTTTAGGGTTTAGGGTTTAGGGTTTAGGGTTTAGGGTTTACGGTTTAGGGTTTAGGGTTTAGGGTTTAGGGCTTAGGGTTTAGGGTTTAGGGCTTGGCCCCCTGACTAATATTCCGGAATATGATCCGCTTCAACCCACTATTGGGATGTTCCCTATCTCAGGGTCAGGGTTACCCTAAAGCCCAAACCCCAAACCCCAAATCCTAAACCCCAAACCCCAATTAAACCCTAAACCCTAAACCCTAAACCGAGCTGGGAGTTGAACCTTCTAAGCCCTGAATCTGCAAGGAAGACAGCAAGGAAGACAGCGTTCGGCCTCGCCTGTAGCCAGCTCCCGTTGCCTTTCCAGGCCTGTCGAGCCCTAAACCCTAAACCCTAAACCCTAAACCCCAAACCCTAAACCCTAAACCCTAACCCTAAACCCTAAACCCCAAACCCCAAACCCCAAACCCTGATGAGGTTGAGAACGGTTGAGGGTTTCAGCGCGCTCAGGGCTTTTGAGTGTTGAGGGCTGGGAGGTTTGAGGTTACTTGCCCTAAACCCTAAACCCTAAACCCTAAACCTTAAACCCTAAACCCTAGCCCTAAACCCTAAACCCTAAACCTGCAGCCCTGAACTTGAGGGTTTAGGGCAGCCTCTAGGCTCTTAAACTTTGGGTTTAGAGCTTAGGGTTTAGGGTTTAGGGTTTAGGGTTTAGGGTTTAGGGTTTAGGGTTTGGGGGTGCTCTAGCGTGACGTGGATGCCTCAGGGATGTTACAAAGGCCCTTCGTATGGGCCCCGAATTGGGGGGGGGGGGGGGGGGGGGCCCTTGCGTAGAAGGGCACGGGATCGTATCAAAGGGGACCATGTAGCTTCCTTAGAAACCCATGAACCATAAACCCTAAGGCCCAAACCCTAAACCCTAAACCCTAAACCCTGCACCTTGGGTGCTTCAAGGTTGCGGGCGTTGGCACTTAAGGTCTCAAGGCTTCCAACCTCTTGCTGTTCAGAGATTGGGGTCGGGGTTTGGCCCGTTTCAGGTTAGTTTAGGCTTTGAGGTTCAGGCTTTAGGGTCTTGGGCCAGGGTTACTTTAAAGCCCAAAAAGAGCTCTCAAACATTCCCTCTACCGTGGGATGTGCGCCCTTATACTAGCAGACCTGAATAGAGATAACCCCTACTCTACTGCAATGGCATTAAGGACTGCTAGTATAAGGGGAAATATCCCAACCTCTACCCGAAACCTTCACAGAGGTAGCTCCTTGTCCAACGAACCCCGGCTTGCAGAAAGCAAAATTTCCGGCATGTTCGGGTTAGGGTTTAGGGTTTAGGGTTTAGGGTTTAGGGTTTAGGGTTTAGGGTTTAGGGTTTAGGGTTTAGGGTTTAGGGTTTAGGGTTTAGGGTTTAGGGTTTAGGGTTTAGGGTTTAGGGTTTAGGGGGTAGGGTGTAGGGTTTAGGGTTTAGGGTTTAGGGTTTAGGGTTTAGGGTTTAGGGTTTAGGGTTTAGGGTTTAGGGTTTAGGGTTTAGGGTTTAGGGTTTAGGGTTTAGGGTTTAGGGTTTAGGGTTTAGGGTTTAGGGTTTAGGGTGTAGGGTTAGGGTTTAGGGTTTAGGGTTTAGGGTTTAGGGTTTAGGGTTTAGGGTTTAGGGTTTAGGGTTTAGGGTTTAGGGTTTAGGGTTTAGGGTTTAGGGTTTAGGGTTTAGGGTTTAGGGTTTAGGGTTTAGGGTTTAGGTTGTAGGGTGTAGGGGTGAGGGGTTAGGGTTTAGGGTTTAGGGTGTTAGGGTTTAGGGTTTAGGGTTTAGGGTTTAGGGTTAGGGTGGTTTAGGGTTAAGGGTTAGGGTTTTAGGTAAGGGTTTTAAGGGTTAAAGGGTTTAAGGGTAGGGTTTAGGGTTTAGGGTTTAGGGTTTAGGGTTTCGGGTTTAGAAGTTTAGGGTTAGGGCTTAGGGTTTTAGGGTTTAGGGCGACTCTGTGCCGCCTTTTTTTCCGGTGGCCCACTTCTTGGAAGGCTTCTTCACCACGCGAGGCTTGACGCTCCTGGTGGAGCCCTGAGGTTTCGCCCCCCTGTGTGTCTGGGCCTGGGTTGCCAGCAACCAGTTATCTAAACCCCGAGCCCTAAGCCCTAAGCCCCTAAACCCCTAAACCCTAAAACCCTAAAACCCTAAACCCCTAATAAACCCCTAAACCCCAAACCCCTAAACCTAAACCCCGAAACCCGTAAACCCCTAAACCCCCTAAACCCTAAAACCCAAACCTAAAACCCTAACCCCAAACCCCTAAAACCCCTAAAACCCTACCCTAAACACTAAACCCATAACCCCGAAACCCTAACCCCTTAAACACCCCTAAACCCCAAACCCCTAACCCCCTAAACCCTAGCAGAAGAAACCTAGCCCTCAACCCTAAACTCCCTAAACTCCCTAAAACCCTATGAAAGGGTACCCTTTTTGGCGGTTGCGTACGTTATGGAACTAGAAACCAGAACAAAAGGGGGGGGGGGGGGGCAAAAGGGGGTAAACCCCTAAACCCTAAACCCCTAGACCCTAAACACTAGCCCAAAACCCTAAACCCTAAACCCTAAACCAAGGGGCCGGCCCAGCTGGTCGCGAACTCGGCTGCTGTCGCCTCCATCGATAGGGTCGCCCCACGACACCACCGATCCATCGGAACCTAATAGGGTTTAGGGTTCAGGGTTCAGGGTTTAGGGTTTAGGGTTTAGGGTTCAGGGTTCAGGGTTTAGGGTTTAGGGTTTAGGGTTTAGGGTTTAGGGTTTAGGGTTTAGGGTTTACGGTTTAGGGTTTAGGGTTTAGGGTTTAGGGTTTAGGGCTTGGGTGCCCTTGGGCATCCGAGGAACGGATGGCGGCAAATGCTCTCGAGGTTGACTGGATGCTGACGACGTTCTGCAGCTGCGCCTGCACGAAACCGCTGTCCCCGCCGAAATCGGGACATCCCCAGGAAACGACCTGGGTAGCCCAGTAACCATACCTTTCTTGGGAAGGGGGTTTAGGGTTTAGGGTTTAGGGTTTAGGGTTTAGGGTTTAGGGTTTAGGGTTTAGGGTTTAGGGTTTAGGGTTTAGGGTTTAGGGTTTAGGGTTACTTTAGAAGGGAACCTTGAACCCAATCATTGAAAGGGAAAAGGGGTACCACTGGGCTACCAAGCGACAGACCCATCTCCTCGAAGCGCAGCGAAAGCGCCCTCAGTTACATTCACGTCGGTGACGTTGTGCAGCTGCTTGCGCACACCTTACTGTTGGCTCGCAGGGAATGGGGGAATGAGGCACCCTACATGATCCCTTAAAGGGTCTATGATAGGGAGATATAGGGTACCTCTCTCCCTCATTCCCTACTAACCAGCAGTAAGACACTCCCGCGTAGAGCCGGCCGCGCCCCCATCGAGAACTCCCAGGCCACAAGGGACCCATCTGATCGGATGGCCGCACACGGGGCAAGGAAACCATCACGACCGATCTGAAGTCTCACGACGTTCGTCAGCGCCTGTCTGAGCCACTTTGGGACCGGACAACCCCAAAACCGCACCGTTCCATCTTTCTGAAGTACGACGATGCAGTTGAAGGTGTTGGAAGCAATGCTGGCTGCGCAACTCGGCACCTGCAGGCACTTGTGGTCGTGGTCTACTGATCGAAAGCTCAGTGCCAAGTTTCCATGTTGGTCAGCAGCGGCCCAGTGCCTGTCCGTGCAATGGAAATGCACAATGCTATCAAGCCCAGTATGATGCACGCCACGGAATGACATACTGCCCCAGCATACGATCCGCCCGCCAGCCTTGACAGCAACAAAGCCGTGCTCATGGCCGAAAACTTGTAGGACGCCTTGCAACTCATCAGGGACGTCCGACCTGCCGCCAAAGAGGGTATCACCCCACGTCACCACACGTCCATCTTCTCGAAGGGCTGCGAAAGCCCCAAAGCTAGATTGGATGCACTGCACATTGCGAAGTTGATCGCGCACAGCAGCGCAGTTGCCTCCGTCGATGGGGCTTCCCCAGGTCACCACAGACCCGTCCACCTTGATTGCAGCAAACGCAGCACTTGTAGCCTGAACGTAGGACACGCCATGCAGGTCTTCCCGCACCGCAGAACTATTGCCCCCACCATCCGGATGGCCCCAGGACACTACTGAACCATCTCCCAGGATGGCAGCGAAAGCACAGTCTGTTGCTTGTATCTGCTGCACATTCTGCAGGTGGTCCTGCACTGCCCTGCAATCGCCGCCGTGTCTTCGGCATCCCCATGACACTACGGTGCCGTTCGGGCGGATCGCCGCAAATGCGTATCTTGTTGCTGCCACAGCTACATCTTGGACGATGCCAGTGATGACATCATTCTCCTTGACGCCCGCTTGCAGGAGAGTATCAGGCTCCAACAGAAGGGTTCCAACGGCACTTACGAGCTTGCCCAAGCTTTTTCCAAACCTCTTCTGGGCGACTTCCCTCAGTTCACCAATCGTCGACTGGGGCGGCCGCGCAATGGCAATCTGCTCACCGCTCAGCAAAGCCACACGCAACTCGATGGAGGACATGGCTTCTTGCAGGCTTCGAAGGGCCTCTAGAAAAGACAGTTTAGAGCTTAGGGCTTGGGCTTTGCAGTCGAACCTGCAGTGACAGATCAACCTTCACAAAAGGATACAGACGCGGGGAGAGCCAAGAATCGCAATGAACCTGCACAAAACAACACTTTGGGTGGCTACTATAGGGGCCTTAATAATTAGAACAGGGTTTTGGGGGGTTACTATAGTTATAAAGGGACCCTAAGGGAAGGACCATTGGCAAAATTCCGGCCCCCAAATTACCCCCTCCCCCTCCCCCTTGGTGCCAGGGTTGGGGGGGGGGGAGGGGCGGGGAGGGGGGGGGGTCGCTGCTTCAATCGCCCCTAAACTCTTGACCCCAAACCCTAAAACCCCAATCCCTAACCGTAAACCCTAAACCCCAATCCCTAACCCGAAACCCTAAACCCCAAACCCTGAACCGTGAACCCAAAACGCCAACTCTAAACCCTAGCCCAGTCTCAAAGCATACGGCTTCGGGTTGAGGGCTCAGAACACGCGACTCCCTGAACCCCATATCCCTGAAAGGGTTGAAGGTTTAGGGCCGGTAAACCCCACGCCTCAAACCTCTAAAACCTTAAGCTCGAAACCTTAAACTCCTGAACCCCAAATCCTAAACCCTAAACCCTAAACCCGAGACTCCTAAACCCCACAATTTCGAACCGGGAGGGCGCCTCGCCAACAGGAAATCCCCAGCCGTTCCCGACTCCTGGCGATTGCTTAAGGTTGTGGACTTAGTTAGGGTTTAGGGATTAATTAGGGTTTGGGGCTTAGGGTTTAGGGTTTGGGGTTTAGGGTTTAGGGTTTAGGGTTTAGGGTTTAGGGTTTAGGGTTTAGGGTTTAGGGTGTGGGGTTTTGGGGTTTTGGGGTCCAAGGCTTAGGGCGTAGGGCCCGCAATCCAACAATCGTCTCTAACAACAATCTGAGAGCTTCGGGCCTAAGGTTTGGGAGGCGTGTGTATATGTGTCCACATACATACAGACATACATACATACATACATACATGCATGCATGCATGCATACATACATATACGTGCATACACACAGATATATACATATATATATATGTGTGTGTATACATATATGTGTGATTCTTTATTTCTGTGTGTATTTACTAATTTCTAATCTATGTATACATGTGTGTGTGTGCATATGAATATATACACATATACACCCTCAACCCTAAACCCTCTACACGCTGTTGCTTTCTGGCGTAGAGGGCTTGGGACTTGGGATGTCGACTTCTTAAGCAGGGCTGAGCTCTTATGCCGTGCTTGCGGCGTAGCTTGGCGTTTAGGGTTCAGGGTTCAGGCTTTAGGCTTTAGGCTTTAGGGTTTAGGGTTCAGGGTTCAGGGTTCAGGGTTCAGGGTTTAGGCTTTTGGGCTTTGGGCTTTAGGCTTTAGGGTTTAGGGTTTAGGGTTTAGGGTTTAGGGTTTCGGGTTTCGGGTTTCGGGTTTCGGGTTTGGGGTTTGGGGTTTAGGGTTTAGGGTTTAGGGTTTAGGGTTTAGGGTTTAGGGTTTAGGGTTTAGGGTTTAGGGTTCAGGGTTTAGGGTTCAGGGTTTAGGGTTCAGGGTTTAGGGTTTAGGGTTTAGGGTTTAGGGTTTAGGGTTTAGGGTTTAGGGTTTAGGGTTTAGGGTTTAGGGTTTAGGGTTTAGGGCCCCAAAGCCCGACCCCCCAAGCCGTCCGTAAAAGAGCCCGAGGTCGATCAGCCACACGAACAGCGACTGCAGGTTAGTGGAGACTGCGCGGAAGACCTGGAGCTGGCTGAGAATTCGTAGGGTCTAGATGGGTTTGGGGTTTAGGGTTTAGGGTTTAGGGCTGAGGGTTTAGGGTTTAGGGTTGAGGGTTTAGGGTTTTGAGTTTAGGGTTGATGGTTTAGGGTTGAGGATTTAGGGTTGAGGGTTTAGGGTTGAGGGTTTAGGGTCTCGGGTTTAAATATAATGGGATTTGGGGCTTTTTGGGCTCTGGGGCTTGGGGTTTAGAGCCTGCTTGATGGGTAGATACAGCCAGGGATAACTCACTTAACTGGTCCAGGAGCTACTGCTGCTGATGCTCCGCTGCTACAGAAATCCTAGAACCCTGAACCCTGAACCCACCCCTGAAGCCTACAACCCGAAACCCAAAAGTCCTAAACTCAACCTCACCACCCAACAAATCCTAAACCCAACCCTAGCACCCCAGAAGCCTAAACTGGGTTGGCCGTTTAAACCCTCTGAAAAAAAGAATATGTATATATATCTATATATATATATATGTATTGATATTATATTTGTTTATTTGTTTATTTGTTGATATTTCTGCACTTGTTTGTTTGTTTATCTATTTACGTATTTACGTATTTACTTATTTACTTATTTACTTATTTACTTATTTGCTTATTTACTTATTTACTTATTTGCTTATTTACTTATTTACTTATTTACTTATTTACTTATTTACGTATTTATTTATTTATTTAGGTCCCGTATCAACCCAACTAAGCAAAATATACATGTCATAAAAACCAACCTAGACAAGTATCCTAAACCTTAAACCCTAAGCCCTAAGCTCTAAGCCCTAAACCCTAAACCCTAAACCCGAAACCCTAAACCTAAACCCTAAACCCTAAACACTAAACCCTAACAAACTGGCAATTTCGGCAAGGGGCACCGCCGAGATGCCTTGGCTGCGCACGGTGGCACGGCTCATGTGGGGTGTAGGGTTTAGGGTTTAGGGTTTAGGGTTTAGGGTTTCGGGTTTAGGGTTTAGGGTTTAGGGTTTAGGGTTTAGGGTTTAGGGTTTAGGGTTTAGGGTTTAGGGTTTAGGGTTTAGGGTTTAGGGGTTTAGGGTTTTGGGTTTAGGGTTTAGGGTTTAGGGTTTAGGGTTTAGGGTTTAGGGTTTAGGGTTTAGGGTTTAGGGTTTAGGGTTTAGGGTTTAGGGTTTCCTGAGCCCTGTGGCAGGCTTTGGGTCTTGGTTCTGGGTTCTGGGTTTAGAGTTTAGGGTTTTAGGGTCTAGGGTTCAGGGTTTAGAGTTTAGGGTTTAGAATTTAGGGTTTAGGGCTGAGGGTTCATAGTGTAGGGTTTAGGGTTTAGGGTTGGCTGTTCTAGACCTAAGCACGAAAACCTACACCCGAAGAAGCAAAGAGCTTTTGCACGTGGAAGAGCCCCAGGGCCCCAGCTTGGCTCTCAAAAAGTGGAAACTAACCCTAAACCCTAAACCCTAAACCCTAAGCCCTAAGCCCTAAGCCCTAAGCCCTAAACCCTAAACCCTGAACCCTAAACCCTAAACCCTAAACCCTGAACCCCAAACCCTGAAACTCCTCAGAAGCCGGAAACTTACAGGTGGATGCGGCTAAGGAAGCCCCACTCGACCCCCAAAACCCACTAGCACCCTTAGAAAAATTGTGTAGGGCTTAAGGTTTAGGGTTTAGGGTTTAGGGTTTAGGGTGGGGTTTAGGGTTGCGGGTTTAGGGTTTGGAAACTTCGAGAGCCCAAAAACAACTCAAAAGACCACACAAACACCACTCAAGAAGATACAACTCCACACGCCCGTAAGAAAACCAACAAAACAACCTTCGACGACCCTTGTTAGACAAACACCGTCAAAGACCCTTGTGTCAATGAAAACAAACTGCAATACCCATTGGTTTAAAAGATATGACAAACAATAATCCGTGATTAAAGAGTAAGCAAACCCTAAACCATAAACCCCTAAGCCCCTCAACCCGTCAACCCCTCAACCCCTAAACCCCCTAAAACCCCTAAAACCCCTAAACCCCTAAACCCCTGAAGCCCTAAACCCCTAAACCCCCTAAAACCCCTAAACCCCTAAACCCCCCAACCCGTACACCCCTCAACCCCACCCCTAAACCCCTAAACCCTAAACCCTAAACCCTAAACCCTAAACCCTAAACCCTAAACCCTAAACCCTAAACCCTAAACCCTAAACCCTAAACCCTAAACTAAAAAAGAGAACATCCCCAAGCCTAAGGCGCTTGGTGACCATCATGCCCAGGGCGTTCAAGCCCCAGAGGCCAAGGAGGTAGAGGAAGAGGATCCTAAGGGTTTAGGGTTTAGGGTTTGGGGTTTAGGGTTTAGGGTTTAGGGTTTAGGGTTTAGGGTTTAGGGTTTAGGGTTTAGGGTTTAGGGTTTAGGGCTAAGGGGCTGAGGGCTTAGGGATTAGGGTTTTGGGGTTTTGGGTTTAGGGTCTGTATCCCAGGAGGTGGAGGAAGAGGATTTTCAGGTTAAAAGCTTTCGGGCTCGAAGGCTTAGGGGTGTAGGGCTTTAGGGGGGTAGGGCTTCGGGGTGGAAGGGGTCAGGGAGGGCTTCAGGGTTTAGAGGAGTAGGATTTTTGGGCTTTGGGTTTTGGGTGTTGCGGTTTACTGTAGGGTTTTGGGGTGAGGGGCTGGGTTTTAGGGCTTTAGGGGTTTGGCGTTGGTGGGTTGTAGGGCTTGAGGGTTTGTTGGTTGTAGGGTTTCGGGGTTTCAGAGGTTTCGCTCCCTTTGGTAGAGGAAACTACACATGAAACAAGCACAACATGTACGACGCCAAATCGCGGAATGCCTCTTGCTGTTGGCCTCAACTCCAGACGATGGTTAAGAGTCCTCCTCGTCTGCGGTCCAGAACTGTGACGCTACGCCCGGCCAGCAGCGCGCGGGCAGCTGTTTTCAAATGTTTATGGGTTTGGGCGAAGTCCTACACCCCTAAACCCTAAACCCTAAACCCTAAACCCTAAACCCTAAACCCTAAACCCTAAAACCAGAATCTAAAGCCAAAAAACTCTCCATGAAACTTCGGGGGGATTCGTGGAGGAGACATCTACTTGAAGGTTCATGGGTACTTATCAACCCCACGTAAAAACGGTTTAGGGTTTAGGGTTTAGGGTTTAGGGTTTAGGGTTTAGGGTTTAGGGTTTAGGGTTTAGGGTTTAGGGTTTAGGGTTTAGGGTTTAGGGTTTAGGGGTTTAGGGTTTAGGGCTTAGGGCTTAGGGTTCAGGGC